GTATATTAACTTAAAATATTTAGGAGAGCTGGGATATATGCACAAAACAAACTTGGTACTGAGTGATGGGAGCAGGCAGTAGGTTGGGTAGAAGCATCCTAGACTGCTGTTGTCCTCCAAGAAAGGCTTCACAAGGCTGTTGGGGAGTCCTGAAACCAAAATGGGTCACTGGAGGAGTCTGTGTCTCCCAGACAGTTGACCTTCCTGATGTTTTTGTTGTGCTCAGTCACTGACTAGGAAGCAAGGCCTCAGGGCACAATGGGGTGATGAATTTCAGAAGCAGGGTTTGGGGATCTTGGTCAATGACACCCCTTGCAGTAGGAAATCTACAAGGAATGCCACCCTCCCCCCCCCCCCCCCCCGCCCCTATTTTTTTCACCCCTGTAGTTCTTCCTGGAAGAACAAATTGATGCTTTCAGGCTCTAACATTTTGCTGAGATGCGAAGCTGCAAGCACTTCAAAGCATGTGTGCACCCACAAAAGTAAAAGATAAGACATTTTGCAAAACAATGATGCACGCATAAGTTGGTTTCATGAGAAAAGCATTGAGATATACATACCCAATAGCACAAATACACACAGGTATATGGGATATATGGGAAGCCAACTCTCTTTCTGTCCATGCTTCAAATATACCAAAACATGACCTAGGAAGCCTATACTTTTCTGAGTGGAAGAAAGAAAGGAAAATGCATTTATTAGGATTCTAGGTTTGTGCCAGTTACTGCAGCAGGTGGTTTCACGTATGTTAACTTAAAATATATAGTACTATTTATGTCCCTTTTTGAATATGCATAACAACCTTCTAGTAGGTGCTATTATTTCTGCTACAGATCAAGTAATGGGATTCAAAGAGGTCATAAATAAAAAGTTAGAAATAGGTAAATAAAATATTTGAAACTTGAGTGTATTCACAGTGGTCTCTGGTGGGCTTCCATAGCCATTAGTCTTTTTTCACTCTTTTGGATTTTTTTTTAAAAAACCTGATAAATTAATGTCTGTTCTTTTTTGTTTGTTTGTTTGTTTGTTTGTTTTTACATCTACAAAATGATTGAACTACAGTACTCTTCAAGTCTGCCAATAGGTAAGTAAGAGAAGAGCATTCTTGGGTGTTCTCTGATATACATTTTTTATTGCAAGAGAGTTCCCCACCTCCTCCAAAGCATCTTCAATCTTCTAACTTTTGCAACTGAGAGTATTTTATACCATCTTTTTGTATCACCCATCCACTTTACAATATGGTACCAATCCTCTCACCAAAGGGATATCTTAGGAGTCAAGGGGAGGATCTTAATATCAAATGAGCATCCTTACACAACTCAGGTGTGGTGCCAATGCCTGTGGTCCTTTTCTGTATTCCAGATTCAGGAAATGGTCCTTGCCTTGATCACCTGTTCATTCCTCCAGTCTTGCTGTGACTGCACAGCTGTTTGAACTCCTTCCAGTCTTTCCGAGGGTTGGAGCTCTTTGCATGAGGGACAGTCGCAATGGCTGGGCCCTTGGTTTGACTTCTTGTCTTCAGACCTATTATCATTTATACCCTATATTTCTGAGGCTTTCCTGCATGGCATATTCATCCTTTTGAATCTTCTGGAATTTAGATAATAACATAGTCTTGCTACATTTCTCTATTAATCAAAGCTTTGTTATGCCACTTACTTCAGAGTCTCTATCTCTATGCAACAATGACTCCCATTAGCAAACAGACATTTTAACTTGTTCTCCCATAATTACTTTTGGCTTTTTAATACAGGATTTTTCTGTATCCATCTTGTCCAAATGAAAATCCAGGAATAATTATAGATGCAATTTACTAAGCACTTTTTATACATTACCCCTGTTAACCAATGTAACAGATATTATCACCATCGTGTTCAGGAAAATTGAAATGTGAAGAATAGAAAATTGAGCTGTGGAGCACATTTGGTGCCCTAAAAGCAGACATTGAAATAGATTAGGGATCGATACCTCTGAAAGGCAGGGGGAAGAGGAAGAAATCAAACCGTGATATAGGCCTAATGTAACCTTGGCTGACTCAATCAGGAGCTTTGGGTCAAGTATTACTGTACCCGTTCACATCCCATGTAAGGCTGAGATGGCCCCAGCCCTTTATATACTTTCCTAGCTCCATTGCTGGATGAAGGCTGTCATGGGAAAGCATGACCTTGGACAAGGTGAGTCTTAATGGAATACATCCTGAAGAAGTTTACACCTGAAGCTATCGGCTGACTGCATTCTCCAAAGCTAAGAGCCTTGAAGGGGGATCTGCGTGGTACATTTATGTGACTACTGAGATTCCAAGAATCTGGGAAATCTATGAAGTAAAAGATTCTATAGCTAGTAAGTAACAAAGATTTGATATCAAGTCTTTTGTGACGCAAAAGTCTATGCATCTCACCAGTTCATAATTGGTTTTGTCTACTCAAACCAATTGAATCAGAATCACCTTAGGAGATTTCTATAAAATAGGGATATTTGGTCTAAATCCTGTGAGATTTACGTTCAATGGTTGTGGATGAGATCCTGGAATCAAGCCCAGTTTGTCAAAGTGTCCAGGATCATCCTAAAGTACAGTTCTATACAGAAACCACTGACACCAGAGAATGGGAAACATTTTAAATACTGGGCTACATTTATGGTGAAAGCTATACAATGTTTTGGGGGTATTAAAAATTCAGATCCAGGATTCATCCCTATGGGCTAATGTCTAATGTCAGTGGCAAAATTTTAAAGACTGGCTTAAAATCTTGAACCAAAGATAGGCTTTCATTTGGACAAGATGGGTACCAGGAACCCCTGCAGTAAGAAGCCAGGACGCTGCCTCTTGCTTTGTGATTGCTGGTCTCTGATCACCTGGTGTAAATGTAGTGGAGAAAGTGTAGCTGTTTCACAATTCGTGAAAGCAAGTGAGTCTGTAAGTGAACTAAAGAATTTGCTTTCCAAGTAGTACCTGCCATGTCTGCAAAATGAATTTGAAGATGCCAGATTCTATTTTCTCTTTTGTCTTTTGCCATAAAATTGGAGATAGTTTTAAGCTGGTGTTTAAATACAACAAAATGACCTTTAAGACTGTAGTAAATTCTTTAAATTTGCATATTTAAATAAATGTATAATTTTATGATCAAGCAATACATAATTATAATAAGACAAGGGTCAAGATTGAAGTTTAATTACTAGAGGAGATATAAATATAAAGCAAAATTGGCTTATTGCTGAGCCAACAAATTTCTGAGACAGGCTTCTTTGAACTCTTCTTTACTAAAATGAAACAAGAAGTCTGATTCTGAGAGAAGGCTCTGTCTCCAGTGGAGCTCTTGGGATTCTGGCTATGGAAGGATAAAGGACCAATCATGGTGACAAAAGTAACAAAATAGATATATTTTAAAAATACATATTGCAAAAGATATATATATATATATTTTTTTTATTTCATTTTTTTTTTTACAAATTCTACTTAATCAGCATAAGCTTTTTTATGTGAAGAAAAACTCAAATAGTGAATCCTGAATTTTTTGTCCAGAGATAAATAAAGTTTATATAACTTCTCTCCAGTTTGTGACAATATCCTGAGATCCCTGGTTTACTGTTCATGGCTTTTGACTCCTGAGGCCATTTTAAAGGGATAATGAGCCTTGCCTAGGCTATCATAGACAGTTTGCACTCCACCTTGAGCATGGAGAGCTGTGTAAATGCTGCATGAATATTTGCTGGCTAAGTATTGGAAGCTTTAAGAAATTATATATAATTGCTGTGTTATACTGTGGTGGCTGAAATGCATGAATACCTAAGTTTCAACACTGAAGGTTCATATGAGAAAATTGCAGTATTGGTTACTGAGCTCTTTAAAATCAGGAACTCTGACTCATTGATCTTTGTGCCTCCAACCTGAGCACAATGGTTTATTTGGATCAGTAAGTACATGAAAACTGTTTTTGTTTTTAACCTTATGCACTTGAAACCATTGAAATTTGGCCTTGGAAGAAAATCGCCAGCTTCTGAGAGAAAGACTCACAAAACCACCTTCTGTCAATGACCAGAGATGTCACAAATCTAGATTTCTCACTGGAATCTCAAGTGGGTGAATTTAATTAACTGCTATAATTAGAAGCGAATTATTAGAAGTGGCCTTGGAGCAAACAGTCCCACATCGACTCTGAGCTATCTCTGATCTTGAATATTTCCATTTATTTCCTTATTGTTTCAATTCTATTTAATCCAGACAATAACCACATGAAGAATGTTGAAAATGAAAGTTTCCTTTAATTGGTATTCAATATGTCATTTAGCTCAAAACTTTATTATTTGGAGAGAACATGTAGCTAATATAACGATGATCTTGTTCCATTGATTTTTATCTACAGATTAAAGGCAGTTGCCCTTCCCTCACCTGTTGAGGAAGTGCTTCCTGCCACTCATTTTCTCCATAACCTCAAGTAAACCTCCATTGGTTTAATGGCAATAAGCATTCTTATTTTACCATAACATGATGTTTGGGAAGAAAAATCTAAAATCTTTTACATAAAAGAAGTTTCGTAATCACACGCTATGAAAAGGGGGAAAACAGACACTTACCCCAGGTACTTTTTACCATGAATTTCTTGACCTTGGTTTCATTAAAGTCTCAACCAAAACATTGCAACAATATAGATTTCTTTAGAGTTGATTCATTTCATTGAAATTTTATTGAGAAAAACTTCAATGTGGGACACAAAGGGTGGTATCTGGAAGGAGAATTTAGGAACTGAGCTGCTTTGCAGATCAGAGCATTTGAAAGTGAACACCCAGTGTGACAAGAAGTAAAAACCACAGGATACCACGTACTCTTTCTGTTCATTTTGCTTCTCAAACTACTCAGGCTCTTCCTAGTGTCTGTACCTACATCCTCTCTCTCTATGTCACAGATGTTTCTGGGGTAGTGAACCTGACTCAACCCTGAAGAGCTCAGGGGAAGAAGGGAAGCCTTCTACTTGAGAAGATTTTGCTCCCAATGGGCACAGGAAATGAAGTTGTTGCCTGCCATGCTTGGAATTGGGAGATTACTTTGGATCCTCTTCTTAATCGCAACTCTGGGCATCTGGAGTATCCACGGTAAAACACCTACTTTGATTATTTATTTTTTTTCCCTCAGGGGCATGCTGGAGGTAATGTTTTTTTGTTGCTGTTCTTACTAGGATGTGGCATTTATGTGGAAGACAGTGGTAATTAAAACGAAGTAGTTAGATTTGCTTACTGAAGACATTTTAGGACCATGGTTGTCAAACTGTGTCTCGTGAGCCACATGCGGCTCTTTGGCCCCTTGAGTGTGGCTCTTCCACAAAATACCACGGCCTGGGCAAGTCTATTTTGAAAAAGTGGTGTTAGGAGAAGTTTAAATTTTAAAAATTTGGCTCTCAAAAGAAATTTCAATCGTTGTAGTGTTGATATTTGGCTCTGTTGACTGATGAGTTTGCCGACCACTATTCTAGGACATTAACCACATTAGAACATGGTATTCAAGTCACTTTGGCTGATTTTCTTAAAAATATGTTCTAATAGTAAGAAAAGGAATTGGGTAGATGTTATAAATAGTTAGAGACAAATTTGGCACTACTACTAGCAAAACGTCTCTGAATGTCATACCGATGCCATACTGATAGTGAATGGCTTGTTCTTTCCAAACCAAAGTGTTGTATTACTTGGTTGGGTAGGAAAGGTATCAGATACCTCACTCCATGGCTATTCTGGAATAATGTTGCTAAATAAAATCATACTACTTACTTCTGTGGAGTGTGTGCCTAGAGAACACTGATTGAGAAAATGCTGAGAAAGATAGGTTTGGAGCAATCTGTCATTGCGTCTAAGAAAATGGTTCTGATTTGGTGTCATTTGACATAGAAAACAGCTTGGGTTCTGCATAAACGATGTTCGGCCACTTTTGCAAAGATTTTATGTGAGTTCACTTTCTCGCTAACTTTGACATATTGTAAAGGGGCAAGGGCTATAAATAGCTAGTAGCGGTTTTAGGTTTTTCTCAGGTCTGGTTTCAAATATCCTACTTTATAATACCCACAAACACATATACTCTTTCCAGTTTTAAATCTGAAAATATGGCCCCTGAAAACCTATAAAATGGCATCTACAACTCTGGAACGGGGTGATTTGGAATTTGTCTCCAGGAGCAAAATAAAACTTCCCCTTAGTCATCTAAGTATTTTCATGATTGCATATTTTTATGTGTGTGTATTTGGCCTTATGTTGTCAGGGGGGTTTAGTTGGATGACTGGATTTTTCACTTTCCCTAAGATGCCATCAATCACATAGCTACAACTGGAGTCAACTATCATAAATATTATTAAAAAATAATTTATACCAAATTTGAAGAATATATAGACCATTCCTGTAAAATGAAATAAAAAAGAATGTTTAGTGCTGTATTGGACTGGGATTGGGCTACAACTTCTCTTCTCCCTCCCAACATGCTTACAAAAAAGAACTTGAGTGTTAGAATGGGGTTAATTTACTGGCTTTGCCACTTACTGTGTGCCTTTGGTTAAGTTTCTTATCCTCTCTTATCTTTAGTTTCCTACTTTGAAAAATAGAGATAATAATTGTACCTAAATTATGGGCCTATTGTGGACACAACCTGTGTAAATAATATGGATAAAGTAACTGGCACAACAAGTGCACACAATAGAAGCTAGTTAAATATTAATGGCATTTTTCACTAATATTATTTTCACAAGCAACTCCCACAAAATTCAATTAAATGGGCAGCAAGTTTTAACATTATTATTTAAAATAGTTAAGTTTTTAAAGCTAAAATAGAATGGATATATTTGGCCCACATCATGAACCAAATTCTTTGGAAAATGAAAAGGAAAGCATTGTATAAAGTCCTGGCCAGGTATCTTACATAACAGTTGATGTTATGTAAGATACATAAGATACATAAAGCATTTTTGCATAAATTAAAACACAGGTTGAGATAAGGGAATGTTTGGCAAGATTTGTTCTCCCAGACAGAGCTCATGACTATTTCTTAAAAATCACACAACCTTTATATCTTGGAGATTTCCTGTGATTTAGCTAATTCTTTACACTGGCACAGTTTCAAAGTGTTTAAAATAATTTAAAAGATATTTTTCATCCTCCACTTCAATACAATGTGAGATGGGTGTGCCTCTTCCCAGAAATCAGGCTGCACTGAGAATAAGGTTGTGAAAAATGTAACATTCACTACAAAACTCCTTCTCTATAATGAAACCATGCTTGCTTAAGTGTTCCTCAAAAATACATCAGGAGGACAGTCTCCTTTGGGTCTTGCCTATATCCTCTTTAGCCTGTGCTGTGATTCTTTGGTATGAACCATGAATCCACACTCCACATCCCACCCACAAAGATGGTGTTGCTTCACTGTGAACTGGCCATATTGTTAGGTGAGAGCAGAATCATTAGGGCAGAAAGTGCTCTACATGTGTTTCTCATTCCTTGAAATTTCGGGGTTTTATCAGGCTTATTTCTAAGATTGTATCTATTTGTTCCTATTGAAATGGGCACAAGAGGTGGAGCTCTGCCTTCTGCCAAATGCCTGTGTATTATTATTATATGAATGCCTGCCACTTAATATGACTACCTTGAATGTAAATGTCTAGGAATACTTTCTGCAGCTGCAGAATTTCCTGAATTAAGGAATAAATAGGTTAACCCCTATGCTAATTACAGCCTTGACAAGACTTTCCAAACGCTGAAAAGCACTTTAATTAACTGTTGCTTCCTCTCTCCCACTATCAAAATTTCCTCTATTTTAAGGTTGAAGTCAAGTGCTGTTTATCTTGCTTCACAGGGAATCTCCTACTTATTGTCTATTATTTGTGAATTTCACCTTTCCTGAGAGTTCAGAGTTGTTGAAGGAAAATGTTCACAGGTATCTGTAATCAGGGCTAAAACTGAAATCAATTTTTGCTTTGTTCTTTGGAGAGGCAGTGATGGGACTCTAGAGCTAGGTCTGGATTACTATCCGGTCTCTGCCATTCACTGGTTCTGTGACTATAATCTCTCTGATTCTCTTTCCTCATTTAAACAATGGGGACAATGATGACATTAACCTATTTGGGTTGACAAAGTCATCTATAAGTAACTGTTGATATCATTACCTGCTATCAGTCACCAAGAAATGATAATAGAATTTGGGAGTCACAAGATTTGCGTTATATTCTGTCACCACATTGTATCATAAGCAATTTGCTTCACTTTTATAATATTGTCCATTCTCTTACCTTAAAATAAGCTCAATATTATCCATCTTTATGATATCCTCTCATGGATTCTTACTTCCGAGTTTATCCCATAGAGGAAATTACTTACATGCATGTTTCTGTGTGTAACAAACAATATATCATTTTAGTTTGCCCAGAATGTAAATATGTACATTTTGAGGTTGGCTTTGAACACAGGGCAGGAGAGTGTTCGAGTGCCATCTTGGCCAGTGGTAGGGAAACATCAGGTTTAGCTAATAGAGCTCTATAACTCCTCTTCTCCTTCCTGATAGCCACACTTATTTTATGAGTACAACCTGGAATTTGAATATTTCACAAACAGTCCATTGCCCAGAAATGGCTATAAGGAAGTTTGGGCCATTTAGGTTCTAGCTGGAGGGTCATGGGTCCATTTCACTTACTTTTCTGATATTAGAAGAGGAGAATTAATATTTTGGGGGGAAGGGAAGGGACAATTGGCAGTTTCTGCCTGAATAGATATTCTTAATGGGATTTGAAAATGCCAGTGAATCTCAGTGTAGCAGAATGCATTAGGAAGCCCAGGGAGTATCTGAGAAAAAAGTGAAAAGGAACTTTCCCTGTGTCTTTCTGATAACATATAAATCTAAACTTATTCTGAGCACCACACTAACCTTTCTATCACTGAAGACAATATTTAAAAATACCCATGTTGGTTTCTTTTTTTTTTTTTTTTTTTTACTAAAATTTTGGGGTGATGTTGAATAATAAAATCACATAGGTTTTATGTATACATCTCTATAATACAGGATCTGTATATCACATTGTGTGCCCACCTCCCAAAGTCAAATCACCTTTTGTGACTGTATATTTGGCCCCCTTTACCTTTACTAGCCCCATCTGCCTTCCCTCTAGTAACCCCCATACTGTTGCCTGTGTCAAAGAGTTTCTGTTTTATATCCCACATATAAGTGAAATTATATGGTTCTTAGATTTTTCTGACTCACTTATTTGGTTAGTATAATAATCTCTAGGTTCATCTTTTCTATGCCTGAGTAGTATTCCATACTACTTTATCCAATCCTCTATTGAAACACACTTTGATTGTCTCCATATCTAGGCCACTGTGAATAATGCTGCAAGAACATAGGGGCACATATAGTTTTGCAAATAAATGTTTTGAAGTTTTTTTGGGGGGTAGACACCTAGGAGTGGGATTGCTTGGCTATATGACAACTTTATTCTTAATTTCTTTTAAAGAACTGCCATACTGTTTTTCATAGTGACTGTACTAGTCTACATTCCCAGCAAATAAGGTTTCCTTTTACTACAGAATCTCTCCAACACTTGTTATTATGTGCCTTGATGATAATAGCCATTCTATCAGATGTGAAGTGGCATCTCATTGTAGGTTTGATTTGCACATCCCTAATCACTAGTGAGAGTGAACATTTTTTATTCTCATATATCTGTTGGTCATTTGTATGTCTTCTTTGGGAAAGAATCTGTTCAGGTTCTTTGTCCATTTTTAAGTTGGATTGTTTGTTTGGTGCTTAGTTGTATGTTTTTTTTTTTTTTTAAATATATTTTGGATATTAACCCCTTGCCGCAACTGTCATTTGTAAATATTATCTCTCATTCGGTTGGATGCCTTTTTGTTTTGTTTTTTGTTTTTGTGGTACAAAGCCTTTTAGTTTGATATATTCCCAACCATTTATTTTTTTTCTTTACTTCCCTAGCTTTTGGGGTCAAATTCATAAAATGTTCTCCATGACCAAGGTCCATAAGTTTAGTACCTAATGTTATCTTTTATGTAATTTATTATTTCTGATAAAATGCTGAAGACTTTCTTTGATGCTGCTCTTTCCAGCTTCT